TTGAGAGTGATGCTCTTGCAAGATAATAGCCTTGGGCGAATCCCACGATGAAAAGCTGATTTTAGAAATAAATAAAACCTTTTCACGTAAATGTATAAGTCTTCTTAGCTAAATGCGAGGTGAGTAATGTACTTTTAAATATGTTTCAAAGCTGCTGAGAACTTGTCACGCTTAGTTTATTATGTTTTGGTGCTTGCTATGCTTTTCGTAAACTACTTTACGAAGCTAATATATTTTTTGTGGTTTTTTCTTTTTTGTTTTTGTTTTTGAGACAGGTCTCGCTTTTGTTGCCGAGGCTAGAATGAGTTGCCGTGTCATCAGCCTAGCTCATAGCAATCCTCAAACTCCCTGGGCTCAGAGCAATACTTCTGCCTCAGCCTCCCGAGTTAGCTGGACTACAGGCAATGCAACCACCATGCCCAGCTAATTTCTTTCATACTTATATAATATTAGTTGACCCAATTAATTTCTTTTGTATTTATAGTGAGTGACGTGGTGGGTCTGCACTTGCTCAGGTGTGGTTTCGAACTCCTGAGCTCAAACGATCCGCCCCACCTCGCCTCCCAGAGAGCTGTAGGATTGTAACAGGTGAGCCGCACCTCGCCTGGCTTATGTTTTGGTGTTTTAAGACGAATACCATTTTTTTTTTTTTCTCTTCGTTAAGCAAAGCACAGATCTGGGGCAAGAAAATACCATGATTTTTGGATATGCTAGGATGAAATTTCCCATGGTATCATTTGGAGATGAGCAATCCATTTGCTATTATGAAAGAAAAATCTCATATCCTCTCAAATGTGAGTACTTGATACTTGAACGTTATTTTGTTGTAGCGTGTGTTTGTTTGCAGAACATGGTTGGTGCAGGAGAGGTGGATGAAGACTTGGAAGTTGAAACCAAGGAAGAATGTGAAAAATATGGCAAAGTTGGAAAATGTGTGATATTTGAAGTAAGAGTTTTCTTTGGTGTTTATAACCCAAGTTGTAATTTGCATATTACAGAACATTTTCTACAGCTAGGACTCAGGGTGTGCTATAAGTAATACACTGTCTTACTGCAGAAGGTGGCATATTGGTTAGTTATACTTCTCTTGTTCAATTATAATAGTTTTAAACATAAAAGTGACTTAAAGTTTTATTTGGTGAAGAAACGTAAATGTTTTATTTTATGAATGAAGGTCAGTGTGGTGGTAGAGGACCTTGATTACAGTGTGGTCAATGGTTTAGTCACTTAGGTGTGCCTTTGGGTTCAGTCTTTTGGCAGGTTTATCTAGTGTCTCTCCTGTGCTGAGAGCATTGGGGAGACCAGAAACGTGTTCTTTGCTCTCAGTGACGTATTCCGTTGAAGAAACACAAAAGAAACCCGTGAAATAACTAGAGGATATTCAGTGTGCTAGACCTGGTAGTATTGACTATAAGTTCAGGAGTCGAGAATAGGATTAGATCAGCACAAAACAGTTATTGAAGGCTCTGTGAATAACAGCAGACGTGAGCTGCGCTTTGGAATGAATAGGTAGGGTTGAGCAGGCAGGGAACGGTATTGGGATTGGGGTGACAGTTTCTGGAAGACGGGACCAGGGCTGCTAGGATGGAATGGGGGGGGGGGGGGTGGGCCGGCAGTCGTGCTGGCGTGGTTGGGGCTTCATTGTACAGGGCTGAGAGACTAGGCAAGGCTGGGTTCAGTTTAGACCTGGTGTGAAAGGCAGTTAGAGTACCAGTCTTTCTGCCTTAAAGTTCTGCCCCTGTTTCTGCTCCTTTCTTTATCACATTGCTGTGTGATGCGCAGTCAGCTGTGTAATTATTTGTTTACGTGCCCGCTGGCGTGGGACCTTCACGAGGTCAGAGGTTGCCTCGCTCAGCTCTGTGTCCTCCCACCTAATGCAGTGCCTGTCATCAGTGGATGTGCAGCACGTTTTTGATGGTGAACAGATTATACTTATTTCTTTTGACTACTATGTGATGATAATTAGAATATTCACTCTGGCACAAATCGTTTAAAAGAGAAAACTCACTTGCAGAGCTATCTCAGACGATGACCTTGCTCATCATGCTTTTATTTCTGATTTCTGTGCAGATCCCTGGGGCCCCAGATGATGAAGCAGTGCGGATATTTTTAGAATTTGAGAGAGTAGAGTCAGCGATTAAAGGTAAGTTGGACAGCTAAATACTAACTATTAAGAAGCTGAATTTGTGACCTTACTCTTCATTATTAAAGTTGTTGTGTACTTAGGATGCCTGTATTAACTGGCTCTCTTTTTGTTTGCCTTTCAGCTGTTGTTGATCTGAATGGGAGGTATTTTGGTGGACGGGTGGTAAAAGCATGTTTCTACAATTTGGATAAATTCAGGGTCTTGGATTTGGCGG